TGCCCCAGTTCCTGCGCGACTCACTGCCTTCCGGTTTTCACCTCGTGTTACCGGTTGGACCAGTCGTCTGCGTTCGTCAGGACCACGTACATATGCTTTGCGCCTGCAGCTCGTGCGTGTGTACCCCTCTTTTTCCTCATCGCTGATTCGTGGGCCCATCTCTGCTCTGGCCCAGCACCGGCGATTGGGCGTGTTGTGGCCTCGGAGCTGTCGTCGCCACTCGCCAGTCGCCACGCTCGGAGGCGCGCTTCTCCAGGCACCGCGCCGAGGCCTTGGCGCTCGCGTTGGCCCATACCTTGCCGCATCCGCCGCCTGCGTTTTTCCTCCGTCTGCCTTGCTCGCTGCCTTTTCTTCTCCGCGTTGCTGTCTGGAGAGGACTTGCCGCGGCCCTACCATTGCCGCTCCGGTTGCTGGATAGGTCAGTGCCTCACTCGCTTCCATGGATTGGTCCCCGTCCTCTTTTGGATCCGCCTATGTCTGCACTCTTTTCAATCGCATGTATTTGTAGTTGTGCCAATCTGCAGATTTTTTTTGGCCTACGCAGATTCGGGATGTCCATCCTTCTCGCCTCTCCGGGAAGCTACCTTCATCCAGCCGTTGCTCCGGTCCCCAGACAACGGCGCCCTCACCCTGCGCCCTTGTTCGACGGATTAATGGATGTGAAGAAGGCGTTGAAGGATACTGAGTAAACGACATCAGTGGATGCCTGTGTGGCCGGCATGCCGGTACTTGTGCCTATGCAAGCAGTTGCCTCCGTCCCATAGGTGATGCCCTTGGTTGGATTGCCACTACTGGTTCTACTGTTCACTAAGTGCGACCTTCTGTTCCTCTGCAACAAGGTGACACTTCTTATCTACTCCAGATTTGCCATTGGCTTTATCATTATGCCAAACATTGGTCTTAGGTATCTAGATTTGCCAATAATTTTTGTACACATTCTCTCCCTTTCACAGTGAATGAATTAATTGTAAGTGCCTAAGTTTCAGATGATTTGTTAATTAGATTATTGGTGGTCGCACCAGTCATGTTGTTACTTAAGTTTTCTCAACAATTTGCAAATTTATGTGCATGATAGATGGCATTTAGGTTTTCCACATCGATTCATTTTAATGCTTTGTTCCAATATTTGTATGCCTGAAAAATCTTTTAGATGCCCCGTGTTAGTCATCATGATAATTCTGGTTCAAGAATGTGGCTAATATGAATAATTTTGACTATGTTTCAGCTTTGTTGTCATCATAGTCTAGGATCACTATGAACATGACCTTATTGAATTGTCTTAATGTTTCCTGACCACCTATATGTAATGTATTTTACCTCCATTTGATCATGAGTGGTGATTGGGTTTATTTTCTTAGTGTTCTGCACTTCTGTTATTGAATCATAGTTTCTACCCTCCTGCTCTCATTTCTTTGTCAACATATGCTTCTGGTTGGAAAAGAAATGGCCACTGTTGATTGTGCTGATTAAATTGGGTGGCTAGGAACATCTGCAGGTTTAATTCACACATTTGTATCTTAGTATAGATACAATTAAATCATTTTTCAGGATAGCATGGTCTTCCTTGTGTTGCGTCCTTGCACTTCTCATGGTATGTCGTTTTGGAACCCTTCCCTCCTTAAATATGTTTCAGGATCACAAAATTTGCAGCTTTGGACATCTTTCATCATCTATTATTTGAATCATGGTTTCCCAGAGCTACTACTCCTATAGTTTACATGCATGTACAATCTTTACTCTATAGACATAAAGAAACCTATGCCGATAGGGTTTCCCTCTCATTGTTAGCCAAATGGAATTTATTTGATTCTTCCTAGGTTCTTGCTTACAGTGCCATCATGTGTTAAGGTTCACCATGGCATTGCAACTTTAAAAGTTGTATATTGTTACCATGTAGTCTCTAGGTTAGTACCATATGTGTGCATTTTAATTTTGAGTAAATATATTATGATTAATGTTCTTGGTTGTCTGGTGTTTGAGCTAGGTATTTTTAGTGCATTTTAATCTTATTTAAAAGAACAGTGAGCACATGCCATTTCTGAATTACTCCACTGTATGTACAGTATACAATATTGTATTTTAAGACAATAAGGTAAAATAGTTAGCATGGTGTTACTTTATCTGTTTTATTCCATTTTATGTTTTTACTATGAGTCCATTGTCCACTGAGAATAGTGGAAATTTGAGGCTTTATTCCAAGAGAGGTTCAAACTGATGTCTTGCGATTCTACTCAGTGCTGCTTTCACCTGCTCTGTGCTCTGGCTCATATATCGTTGTTTCCCCTCTGACCATCTTTTTGGCAAGTTCCCTCTGTCTGTAGAAGATTGCAGTTCACATGTTACAAGTACTCCAATAATAGAGACTCTGTTTTTGTTATCTATTTGTGGTGCTAATTTTTCTGTCACATTTTCTGAAACCAACAAGTTGAGAATGGATCGTAGAACTCGGAAGTAAATATATCAGTAATCCATACCATGTACTTGCTCCTTGTGCTTAGATTCTTGTGTAAAAGGGAGGCTGCTCAAACATCTTTTCATTGTTTTACATCTTAATGTTTTGTTCAAAATTGTCCTGTTCTTATTTTACATCTCACTGCATGCAGTTCACGTAACAGATATCCCCATATATGGTCTCCTACTCTGAGGTACAACAACAAATGATATGCCTTTCCACGAGATGAGCGAGTATTATTCATGTTATTGTCGTACAAAGCATGTGCTCCTTTCGTTTCCAAAAAAAAATAATGCTAAGAATTATCGTCATCTTCGTTTGGTTACTTGAAGGAAAAGCCTTAGGATTTTGACAAACATAGCCAATCTACTAATTGATTTAGCCTGACTTCAGTTCATTGAAATCAGATTTTGCCTGTATGTGTCTTCTTCCATAAATCATGTTAGTATTGAATTAAACTATCACGGGAATGATGCCAAACTTTAATACCTGAAGTTTATGTGTGCAATATAAGATAGTTTAGTTTTTGCTTTCTACCTGATGATGTTGTTGAAATTATTGCTAACAAGTTTAAGAAACTCATCTCAAACTTTGGTTGTCCAAGAAATGTTTCATAGTTCTGAAGTTTAGCTTAATATGCAGCTGGAAAATGAAGATTGCATGGGGAGAACACTAAGAAAGCACAAAGGTCACCCAATAGTCATGGATCAATTTTGACTGCACTAATTAGGAGACAAGGTGACATTCGGCTGGTGTTTTCCTTTAATCCACCCAATGTTAGATTTGTACTTTTGTATACATGTATGGAAATATCCTATGTCAAAGTGAAATGATCATACATGGCATCCACGTAAAACCTCACTTCTCGTGATGTTTACAGTTATGCTCTCTTCTTGTACAAGCCTGTACACTTGTGTGGCAATGTCTCAAATGTATATTTGAGTGACTAAACTAGCAATTTACTCTGTTGTACATATGTAAATTAATAGATTCGTGTGAACGCTTGTAATCTATTTCATGCTACTGAATTCATTGTCGTTTCTATAAAAAACAAACATGCAGATGATTATGTGTTATCACTACGGGCGCAGCGAAGCGCGCCAACCTACCTAGTATATAGTAGAAGAGAAAAGGGAGGCAAACACGGGCCCAGGCCCTGGAGAGATAGCCCAGGAACGGCCCACGGGGGAGAGAAACCCTACCCTTCGGGGGGAGTGGTGGCATCCGCGACTCGTCCCCACCGCAGGCACAGCGCGACCCCCCTTAAAAGCCGCCTCTCGCCGCCGCCCGCAAACCCTCGTTTTTCTCTCTCCTGCGCTGCGCCGTCCCTCACCTCCGCCGCCGAATCCGAGACTCCGATCTCGGGTTCACCGCAGCGCACAGAGCACCCCACGACTCCCGGACCGATCCGCGCTCTCCTCTCCGTCGCTTCAGGTGGTCGCCTCCTTCAGATCTCTTGCTGTTTCGCTCGTTTTATTTGCTTTTTGGTGTCCGATCTGCCGCGGCGGCGGGTATCGGTCGATCTGGCGGTACTGCCCGTGTAGATCTGCGCCGATTCGGTGGGGATATTAGTGATTTTGACGGTTTTGGATTGAGGGATGGCTTTGCGCGCGGAAGCGGAAGTACTAGCTTCCCCCTTTGTCTGATGTGCGGCTTTCAACTCTATACATGATTTCTTACGTGGGATTTGATTGATTTTGTATGTAAATAAAATGGTTTCCGATGCTAATACGCAAAATTGCTAGTTTTGGTAATAAAACTGTGCTAGACAGCTCTTTGTAGCTTGCTTGTAGCTGTATATTTGGAACTGTTGTGCTGTGTGTTGTGTTTGAGTATTGGATTCGAGCTGTTTGAGCTATGGGACTGCATGCTATGTATTATTCTGTCGTGATAAGATAACTTTCTGTGAAAGCGCTATGTATTATTCTGTCGTGATAAGATAACTTTCTGTGAAAGCGCTATGTATTATTCTGTCGTGATAAGATAACTTTTTGTGAAAGCGCTGATGAAATGGCCACCAGGATTTGTTACAGGATAGGGAAAAGACTGTCTGTGCTACTATTCATATTGTTTGATAGTAAAGAACTGTTGTTCGATTTATTGAGTAGATACTTGCACTTATATCAGTCTGCTGTTAAGAAAGTGTAAAGCATCAAAGTTGTCCTGGTATGGTTCTGTTTAGATTCTTTATAACCTGAAGGATGAGTTGAACATGCATTTTGTATAAATTGTAGAGCTTGGATAATCATTTGTAGAGTACAACTGATTCCCTGTTGATTCTGTTGTGAATTACTGGGTACTTGGCTACCATTTGTCTTCTAGCATGTTGTTTGCCTTGTACCTGAACAAATTTCTGTGGTACACAAACACCTTTCTTGCTGTAGTCTTTAGGCAAGTTCTGTTATAAGCTTAAATTGTGCCGCTGTTCATGATTTTGTATACATCCTTTTGATCCCGATTCCTGATTAAACCTTTTTTTTGTTTGCTTGTCATATTGTTCACATGCACTATAACTTCTGTGTCTTAACATGTTTTGTTTGCTACAGTCATGGCAGGAATGGCACCTGAGGGTTCTCAGTTCGATGCTAAGCACTATGATTCTAAAATGCAGGAGCTGCTGTAAGTAATATAAATCATTCTTTTTAAAAAAACCCTTCTTGTTTTTATCATTTTTGACTTGAGAGCCTAGTGATATCTAATAACCTTTACCTCTATATGTTCATGTAATACAGGAGCACTGGTGAGACTGAGGAGTTCTTCACTTCATACGATGAAGTTTTTGAGAGTTTTGATGACATGGGCCTCCAAGAGAATCTTCTGAGGGGCATTTATGCTTATGGTAGGTTGGGAGTCTGTTTTGCTTTAGCGCGTTTGTCTTTTACATTGTATATTCCTCTTACAACCCATTCTCTGTTGTGTAGGTTTTGAGAAACCTTCTGCAATTCAGCAGAGAGGAATTGTTCCCTTCTGCAAGGGTCTTGATGTCATTCAGCAAGCACAATCTGGTACAGGAAAGACAGCAACTTTCTGTTCTGGGATCTTGCAGCAGCTCGACTATGGCCTTGTTGAATGCCAGGCCTTGGTCCTTGCTCCCACCCGTGAGCTTGCACAGCAAATTGAGAAAGTCATGCGCGCACTTGGTGACTACCTAGGTGTTAAGGTCCATGCATGTGTAGGAGGAACATCTGTCCGTGAGGACCAAAGGATTCTTGCCAGTGGTGTGCATGTTGTTGTTGGTACACCTGGTCGTGTTTTTGACATGCTGCGTAGGCAGTCCCTCCGCCCTGATAACATCAAGATGTTTGTTCTTGATGAGGCTGATGAAATGCTTTCTCGTGGTTTCAAGGATCAGGTATACTCTTCTATATAATTTCTACTTTCTCTATTCTTGATCATGGTACCTGTATTCTTTGCTAGTAAAGTGCAGAGATGAAGTTTAAATTGACTTTGCCACATTTGATTTCATTTGTTAGTTTCCTTGTGTTTAGCTTTAATCATTGACATGCTTCAGTCAGGAAATCTTGTGCCAAATCAGTTGTATAATTCTATTATCTTCTGTAGCAGCAACCTTAAAAGCATTTCAGTAATGCACTACCTATTTACGTTGCTCTGATTGATTGATGCCTGCTGACTTCCTTTCTTTGGTGAAAATGCAGATTTACGACATCTTCCAACTTCTTCCAGCCAAGATTCAGGTTGGAGTCTTCTCTGCTACGATGCCTCCTGAGGCCCTTGAGATTACCCGCAAGTTCATGAACAAGCCAGTCAGAATCCTCGTGAAGAGAGATGAGCTGACCCTTGAGGGTATCAAGCAGTTCTATGTGAATGTTGACAAGGAAGACTGGAAGCTGGACACACTGTGTGACCTGTACGAGACCCTGGCCATCACCCAGAGTGTCATCTTTGTCAACACCCGCCGCAAGGTGGACTGGCTCACTGACAAGATGAGGAGCAGGGACCACACTGTCTCTGCCACTCACGGTGACATGGACCAGAACACAAGAGACATCATCATGAGGGAGTTCCGGTCTGGTTCCTCCCGTGTGCTCATCACCACCGACCTGCTTGCTCGTGGTATTGATGTTCAGCAGGTGTCCCTGGTCATCAACTATGATCTTCCCACCCAGCCAGAGAACTACCTGCATCGCATTGGTCGTAGTGGTCGTTTCGGTAGGAAGGGTGTTGCCATCAACTTTGTGACTCGTGACGACGAGCGGATGCTGTATGACATCCAGAGGTTCTACAACGTGGTGGTTGAGGAGCTGCCTGCCAACGTTGCTGACCTTCTGTGATCATTGAGGAAAAAACAGAACAAAAAAGGGGTGGCAGGGGAACTGATAAGGCTTGTTTTTGTCGAAATATCGTGGGGGAGGATGTGATAAGGTCTGTGGGGTTTCTATGTTAAAGTCGTGATCATGGACAATTTGTGTTTTTTCTTTATGCCATGTTTTGGGAATTTTTGTAGCTGCCTAGGCCTTGTGGTATGTGCTGCTGTGGGGGTTCATTAGTATGGAGAGGAAGACGCTGCTGAGAGTCTTTTTCTCTTTATTAGTATTTTGTTTAAAACTATGTATGACCGAATGATGGTATTTATTTGTGTCATCCTTTACTCTTATTCTGCTGCAACCAGATGTATCGTGCCATGTGTCTGCAGCACCGGTCTTTGTTGTTCAGAGTAAAACCTGTTTACTCTGTTGAGCTTGTCAGCTGTTGATGCACGGTGCCAATGGTAATGTATTTGAAGTGGCGCGACTGAGCAAGATGTGTGGCACTGGGGTCTGAGATACTAACACTATAACTATTTTGGTATTTATTTTGGTATGCATCTAAATATAATAATATCTAGATACATAGTAGAATGGATGAACTACAAAAATTGGAACGGAGGGAGTAGTAGTTTACACCGGCAATTTGGTATCCTTAATAATATATGATGAGGGGTGTTGGTTTCAAATAGTTTTGTTTACTTCCTGAAACTTCTGAAATAGTCATGTAGGGGATTTTCTCGAATAGAGAGAACAATGTTTAAGCGGCAGCTTTTGGTATCTTACCTGAAAAGCTGCCTTTTTGGCTTCAATCTGCTTTTAGTTATGTTTCCTGGAATGTGTTTTTTAGCTTGTATTAGTTCAAATTTCCCAAGAGCCAGCTTTTCACCTTTTCAAGAGCAAGTTCAATAGCTAAACTGTTTATTTCAGCTTCTAGCTTACGACGAGCAGAGAAATAAACCAGCAAAAAGCTGAAATGAACAAATCCTAATTCGGCATCAACCAAACAGAACAGACCCAAATTTGACACCAATCAAATAAAACACAAGTGGAAGCACAATGGGAAAGCCCGAATTAAGCACCATACAAACAAGGACGAGAAATTGAAAAAAAGGCTTCATGCTCCCTTATGTAGCAAGTTATTAGCGATGGAAAAGGAGAGAAAGAGAGTAACAAACCTGGGCCGCGGATCCACTGGTGGTCTGTAGCAGCCTAACAACAGGCATTGTTGGGCCGTGCGACACACACGGGGCTTCCCCTGCTTCTTTTCAGGAAAAAATGTTTTGTTTTTTTCGACCTCCCTCAACTTGTGTGATCATCCGATTTATCTCCCTTATTCACAAAACCAGTTGGTTGACTTCCTTCAGCTTTCAAAATTGTTTGCTTTTGGACCTTGACCAGTTTTGATGGTGGCTTTGCTGACGTGGTGCCACGTCATCTATCTATAAGGCTGAACTGAACATGCGCACGTTACGTGCCGTCATCTGTCTCTGGCCCCTTCCGCCACGGCTAAACTGCACAGGAATGCTAAATGCTATGCATGCTGCATACTGCCAGAGCAACGTGCGTCGGTATGTGTCGCACTCGCACTGGCATGCATGGTCTGCTCCGATCCATGCATGCATCGCTCCAGGTGTTTCTTGGCATCCGGCATCCGGCAACGCATGCGTTCGTGGGTGTGCAGGGCAGGAGTGAACAATGGTGGTCTCTCGATGCTGCCTACTGCATATGCACTCGTCGTCTGTTCCCTTTCGCCGCATTTTTTTCCCTTTTCTTTTCTTTCTGCTCAATCCATCCTTGATTTTTTTTAATTTTAACACTTTTTAAAAACTAATTTTAAATCTAACACTGTCAATTTTTTTTTAAAACTAACACTTTTGGCCGCGTCTATTGCCCTGGCGTGGCCAAATGCCTGTGCCGCGTCATGCATGGTGGCGCGGCAGCGGACTGACGTGGCGACAAACGGAATCGCGACCGATGACGTGGCAGGGCTCTGCCGCGCCACCGATCTTGGCGCGGCAGTGCCGCGCCCTGATCCGTGGCGCGGCAGAGCCGAATAAAACCCCCGCCGCGGGCCGCGTCCGCCAGTGCCCGAGCACGCAGCAAGGCCGCCTGGCCGCTGCGCCCACGCCAGCCCGCCGCCGAGCCGCCGGCCGCCGCGGCCGCGTCCACCCGCGCCAGCCTGCCCGCCTTCGAGCACGGCACGGCCGCCGGCCGCCCGGTGCGGCCGCCGCGCCCGCACGCCGGCGCGCCACCCCCTCCGACCACACACGGCGGCTGCCCGTCGAGGCCTGCGCCCGCGCCTCCCTGCCCGGTCTAGCGCGCTGCAGCGAGGTACTCCCCTAATGTAGTTAGTATAGTTAATAAAGTTAGTAAAATTATTAAAGTATAGTTAGTATAGTTAGTAAAGTTAGTTAGTTTAGTTAGTATATGTAATATAGTAAGTTAGTATAGGTAGTAAAGTTAGGTAGTTTAGTTAGTACCATTATTGAGTCTAGTTATACATTAGATTTAGTCTAATTAGTTGTTGTAGTTAGCCTTGTATAGATGTTAATATTAGATTAGTTGGTATAGTTATAATTAGAATATGTATTAATATTACTACCTATAGTTATAGTTAGATGATTTCGACGACTTGATGAAGTTTGTTGAAATGCTTTTGCAGATGGATTGTTGTGTTAGAGTTTTATACGGAGGAAGTGTTAGGAGAGAAGATGGTATGTTTGAGAATATGGAAGAAGAATTGGAATGGTTTGATGAACCTCCTAGCTTCAACGACCTCTGTGTTCGTTTGAATGCAAAGTTTGACGGTGAGTTTCATACTGAAGGGGATGTTTGATACTTGAAAGACTAGGGCACACTATGTCCTCATGCCCTTGCGCGACCCTGCTCACTGGTCCCGCTACACTAGGGTTCTCCAATGATTCAATGTGTCCATGGCTGAGGTGGTGGTGGAGAATGGGTACATGATGCATGGTGTTCAGGACGGCCCGTCCATTGATGGTTTTGGAGGCAATGAACAAGAATTAGGGGTCGAAGGGGAAGCAACTCAGGATAACATGGATTTGGACGGTCAGTTGACGCAGGAGCAGTTTCATTCAACTGCAGTAGGCTGTATAAGCAATGACTTCGATGTGAATAAGTTCGAACGAGAAGAGGAGGAGCAGGAGGAGGAGGACAGGATCGGTGATGTAGTTAGCAGTGATTCAGACGATTCTGATGATGACCAAGGAGGTACAGATGCTATGCCAACACCGACTGATGCCATGCCAGTACCGGTTCATACTATGCCATTACCAGTACAAACTGAGGTTTTGCATGGTGTCCAGTCTCAGGGTAGACTAGTCACAGATTTGGCTGCCGATGATACCCCCTATGATTCATGGGCCAGAATTAGCGAAGCGCAGCAGTATATTTCACCACCACCTTACACAACGACTGAGCTTGAGCAACTAAGGTCCAAGAACGTACCTTTCAGGGGCGTTCCAAACTATAGGGATGTCAGCATGACGGATATGGCAGTTTGTGACATCGGTCTCCAGATGTGTAGGAATTCATTGTATGACCATGAGAAAGAAACCCTTAGGAAGGGGATGATATTCAACACAATGTCAGAGATGAAATTCTTCCTTCAGGACTATGTTGTGTACCACCATAGGCCGTACACCGTCACTCATTCGGATCAGGAGTTTAGGTACCATGTGATATGCAAAAATGGTTGTATGTGGAGGTTAAATGCACGAAAGAGACAGAGTGATAGCAAGTGGAGGATAACTACAGTTGTCAAACCCCACACTTGCCTAGACAGTAGCGGAAGGAAAATCATCAGCAGCTCACTGCACGTTACCTTGCCCGTCGTATATTAGGACTCGTTGATGACAATAACGATATCTCGGTGTCTTCTTTACAACAGTTCATATCTGGATTCGTTAAGTACGATGTGACGTATGGAAAGGTTTGGCGTGCTAAGCAAATTGCTCTGGCGATTCGATAGGGTAGTTGGGAGGAAGCGTACAACAGGGTGCCCCGTATCTTATGTGCAATGCATTACTACAACCCTAGCTTGAAATGGTTTGTGGACACCGGAGGGATGTGTTTTCGGGACCCATTGAGGCATGTCCTCTATCGTGTGTTCTGGTCGTTCGCGCAAATGAAACATGCATTCCAGTTTTGTCGGCCAATCATACTTGTTGATGGCACTTTCCTAACAGGAAAGTATAAGGGCACGTTGATGATGGCTGCTGCTGTTGATCCTGAGGACCAGATAGTACCCATGGCTTTTGCTTTGGTAGAGGGAGAGAATAATGAATCGTGGTCATGGTTCATGCGGCTTCTACGTGTGCAAGTGCTTGGCCCAACTCGCACTATATGTTTGATCTCGGACTGTCACGTAGGGCTTCTTAATGCTGCAGCTGAGCATATAGATGGGTTCCCGCCTCTAGTACATAGATGGTGCATGAGACACTTTGCCACTAATTTCTGGCGGCGTCAGTGGAAGCAGGAGGTATGTGACAAGGTAAAGGCTCTATGTTGTGTACGTACAGAGCACCAGTTCAAGGAGATAATTTAACGCGATTACGTTCGTTTTAGAAATTCTCAGCGCATGATACAAACAGATGTGATCACTTAAGATCGATCATGGGTAATCCGAGTACATGATACATGGGTACAATACATCAGTAGTTCAAATAGAATATAAGACAACACAATGAAATTTCTACTACATAGCTACATTGATCATTAATAAAGCATGGAACTAACACACGGCACAATAAAAAACCCTCAGTCAGAAACATACTGAGTAAATAACTCGTCGTCCGAGTACCAATCCTCAACCACAACCCTGTTGCTGTGGCTAGGCTCACCTGCATTGCCATGATCTGCTTTTCGCCTGTAGTAAGCGGCTCCGCTTCATCTGCGGCCTCTGCGGCCTGAGTGAAGAACGTGTCGTCATCCTCCTCCGCCTGCAAGCCCACTTCTTCTAGAGCGATGAGCTCGCTCAGTCTGGCAGTGTCGTCCTCAGCCTC